TACAGTAAGGGGGAAGCCACTCTCAGTCCCATGAACCTGCTAAGCCATGGAGAGAAGCAAGGCATTCCCTGAGCCTCTGCTTAGCCCCCACAATTCCTCTAAGCCAAACTCTGTCAGTGGGGAACAGAAATGTACCCTTCTCATAAAATCCCCTAATCATATATATGCAAGCCACCACAGCTTGGAATTGAAGACTCTGGAACGTCCTGGAAATTATGACAGTGGAGGTTCTTTCTAATAGATTCCCTGGGCAAAATGTGTCTCAAAAATACCCTGTCCAGCTTCCATCTTGACGATACCAGGTCAAGGTAATCCCATTTGTTTATTGACGCCGTTATTGGCCCCAAGTCCTGCCTTCATCTCTGCTCATGACCTTGCAGCTCTACACGTTTCCAGAGTGAGTCTGAGATCTCCAGTGCAGGGTAGGGTGAGTGTATTTAGACTTTACTGTTTGGCTGAGTCCTGGAGATGGGGATGGCTGGTGCTGGCAGAGGGAGAGCCCCTCCATTTCTGGCAACAGGACTAGACCAGCACCTTGCCTTAGGATGCAGAGCATCTGTTGCACCTTCCTTGGATGTTGAGGCATCTGTTCATGTTCTGAATAAGTCAGTCAGCTGAACATCGCCTACACTCTTTATCTCCAAATACTGGTCCCAACTAGAGGCAAAAGTAGTTTTGTGTGACTTAATTTTTCTAATTTAGTACTGCATTAATGAGCTGATGCTGGTTTTAGTATTGTGCAGTGGCTGACTCAAGAAGAGCCATATCCTAATTTCTCCAAGTATTCTACTTCCTAGATATAAAACAGTAGCAAGGGACCAGAGCTCACTGACACACAAGGAACCACTATACAACAGGACTGAGCACTTTGTTACGTATAATGTGACTGGCAACCTGAATTTCTTCATGCTGAGAACCAAGAGAGACTGCCTACATGCTGTTTCTTTGCTCTGAAGTTGTTTGCTATCAGTACGTTTTAATTAAAAGGGAAACCCAGCTAAGACACAGAGCAAAACCATGTATGTTGCTCAGTAATAGCTATTGCTGCAGATCCAGGTTACATACAACCAGGGCCAGGGCGTCATCTTGGCTACCTTATAGGGAAGGGAAAAGCAGACATAGTCCAGAAATAGCACAGGTGTCTTCTCATGGGACCCCAGGGACAAGGGATGGAGGGAAGAGGCAGGGGAAGGAGACAGAGAGACACAGAGAGAACGAATCAGAAAAGGGGCAGAAGAAGAGAACAAGTAGGTTCTCTTTTTCCAAGATATGCCTTCAGCACTGTTAGTGACAGGAGGAGAATCCCACACAGAACAACTTCATGGGTGACTTTGACCCTTGGCAGCCACAGCATTACCCTACTCAGCCCAGTACCACTCTTTGATCAATGCAGAGCAATTTCTGATTCTGAAGATCAAGCAAGAAGTACTCTACCTGCTAGAGTTCTTCATTTCCCCTGCTTGTTCCTCTCAGGCCTTTAGGACCCACTGCCAAGCTCTTACTCCTGAATGCAGGCTTCGTCACCTCTTCCGACAGGTGCCTCCCTGGCATCTTCACTTCCCTCCCGAGGGCAGCGTTTGTGAAGCAGAGCATGTCTTGATCTCGGGTTGTGAGTCCTCTCGGCATGGCAGTCATCCCTTAGTGTCTTAGGAAACCCGTTTTATCCTGGTGAGGTGTATAGTGTATGTAAAACAGAGCCTTGCAACGTGAAGCAATGTGATCAGCACCAAGAAGTCCCGTCTTGGATGGAGGGAAGTACTCTGAGCGGCATCCCGTGGGGGCAGGACTTTAGAAACAATACCTGTTCTGTCCCTTGACTTTAACGCTCAGACACTTTTGAATGGTGCAGCCCTAAGTGCATGTATGGAGAGTGACTCATGTTGAGGGACAACACATCCAATCAGTGCATGAATCAGGCACCTTGCTCCTCTGAAATGCATTTGAATTCAGGTGCTTGTGCTTTTAATTAGACCTTGGCCCTTCATTTCTACAGATTCCCCTCAGTGGCCTGGCTTTTAAGTTCTTGATCACTTCCCTTCTTCTTCAGTACAAAGATTTTATTTAAAGTTTATATTTGTAGCATCAATCTCCTCAGTAAAAGTCACCATAATGTTGGTTTTAAGGCCTTGTATTGTTGCTTTCATATTTTATCTCTGTCTCTTTCCCAAAGGAAACCTGTTCAAAACTTATATTTACTTTCCCTTTTTATCTATGAGCATCACTTTGTCTTTTGTAAAATAATGGTATTACTACCTTGCTGCAGTCCAGTTCCAGCTGTTTTCGGAGCTCGAGAAGGGTGCGTGAAGTAGGCGTAGAAAGAAGAAAAAAGAGACAGACCACTACAATTCCAACATCATTGTGGACCACGCAAGAAAGCTGTCCGCTTCATTTATACAGAAGCAGTACACAGTCCTTTTTTAGGGCATTTTGACATAGCTTCAAGGGGGGCACAATTTACAACAGCTTGAGAGGTGAGTGAGGGTGGACCCCACATTCTTTGCTTATCTCAGCTTGCCAGCCCCTACTTACTTCCCTCAAGTCTGGGTCCCATCCTTGGCGCTGCCTGTGGCAACCAGACCCCTACCTTGAATTACTCATGGGAAAAGGTCTGAGGCCTTGATTTATTGGGATTGGGGCATTGATACCAAAGGTCATTAGGTCTGCAGGCCCACACAGTTTGTTAATTAAGCAAGAGTTACGACAACAGAAAGAACTGCAATTACCAATGAGCCTTGTTTACTCCATTTAGGTTTCCACTCTACAATGGGCAAATAAATGTTTCCAAAGATAACTACAAATAGTTTCACCTTAAGACAGGGTATTATCCATTCTGATGTTGCAGCCAACATTTTCTCAGTAGACGACACATCTTGTCCAGTAATACATTCCTACTACAATTCTTATTCTATAACTTATCCATCACTTAATGAGAGAAATACATCAAAAGAGAAAAAATATAAAAATCTAAGACAAAAGTTTCAAACATTAATTCCCTCTACAACTGCAGGCTCTACAACCTCATAAATGATCAAACAATAATCAAAAGTATACATGATGTTAGTAAAGTCACCCTATATTTCCTCTAGTTATAAATTATGAAGGCAGCCAAAGCAACTACATTTACTGTGTTCTAAAGAGTTGAGAGTTGCAAGGACAGGCTAACCTTTAAGGTCACAGTAGCTATGTTTTTGCCATAGCAGGATGGCCTTTTGGGGTCACAGTAAATATAACAGGATAACCTTTAGGATCCCAGTAGCAGGATAGCTTTTAGGGTCCCAGTAACAGGATAGCTATATTTTTTGTCATAGCAATTTCAACCCATACTTCCATAACTTCCATTAGTTTGTGAAACTCTTATCAGGCCATTTCCCAGAAAGCATGCTAAATGTTTGGGCCAGATTCAGAGCAATGGTTAGGCACACAATAAGGTGTCTAGAAACAGCATGGGCTTAATTGTACCCCTGTGTGCAGTTAAAGGCCCCTTCAACAAGACATTATCAGTAACATTAACTTTTAAGCTCATGTTGGTTGTAAAAGCCATCTCACAGGGGCAAACTATGCCTAATAGATTGCAGAATTCTTAGTGGGGTACTTGAGTGTCCATGCAAACAGGGGGCGAGACTGCATCAAGGTGGTCAGAAAGAAATCCGCCAGGCCCTGCCAAACAGCTGGAAGCTCTCCAGGCCCTGCCAAGCAGGGGAGCAGTTCTCTTCACACCTTCGTGTCATTCACACCTACTGCACAGACCCCAGCACTACCTTTTTGATACATTTCTTTCTAAGGATGAAGAAAGTTAGTGGAAGCAAAAGTCTAAAATACAGTCAACATATTCTCATTATTTTACTCACCCTGTATTACAGCAAATGCTGTTTCCAGTTTCTTTGAAATGACTTGGGAGCTGATTTTTAAAATACAGTATAGCCAGTTTCAAGCATCTTGCTTGTTAGTAAGACTAGGTAGGGCCCAGCACAATAGCCTAGCAGCTCAAGTCCTCGCTTTGCATGTGCCGGGGTCCCATATGGGCGCTGGTTCTGGTCCCGGCACGCTCCACTTCCCATCCAGCTCCTTGCTTGTGGCCTGGAAAAGCAGTCGAGGATGGCCCAAGGCCTTGGGACCCTGCACCCATGTCGGAGACCTGGAGGAAGTTTCTGGCTCCTGGCTCCAATCAGCACAGCACCAGCCATTGTGCGCACTTGGGGAGTGAATCATCGGACGGAAGATCTTCCTCTCTGTCTCTCTTCCTCTCTGCATATCTGACTTTGTAATAATAATAAATAAATCTTTTGAAAAGACTAGGCAAAAGGTTGGCAAACTACATTCTACAGGTTACATCTAGCCTCCCAACTGCTAATAAAGCTTTATTAGCACACAGTCACAGGCGTTTCCTGTACATATGGGCATGAATGTTTCCTGGTTTGCCTGCAGAGCTGAGTAGTTGCAGCTGCTAAATATCAGCGGGCCCTCTAAGAAAAGCTCTTGACCTCCAATCAATTAATTTGTTTCACATGTATGTGAAAAGTGTTAGACCCCAAAGGGATGTGGGGAGAACCAGAAGGAACTATGCCTGTGGTCCCTGATTCTCACGGTGCGAGCCCCAGGACCTGCAGTTGTAGCTGATCCTGGAAGCTGGTTACCAGCACAGGCAGAGGCAGAGGCCTTGGGTTGGGGCCCGGCCCCCTGTGCTGCAACGCAACCTCAGGTGACCCCAGTGCCTGCCCCCGGGGAGAAGCACCATGTAGGAATGTGGTTGAATAGAACGAAGTAGAATTCCTTAAAAAGTATAGAAAGAACAATCATTAGTATATATCATTACTATGCATCTACTAATGATTATACAGTAATAATAATGAAATGTCGCAGCATATAAAACAAATTTCATGTATATTTTAAGCACTAGAAAGGGTCCTGAAATTTTACCTTTGTGTGGTGTTTTGTAATGAACTGCTGTTTGCGATGCAGTGCTGTAAGTAACAGGCACATTGCTGTTCCTTCTTTCTCAGGGACAAGAAGAGTCAACAGTGATCCTTTGAAAAGAGGCAGGAAGAGAGGTAAAAACAAATGATTGCCACATCTTAAATAGTTAGTAGGAATTAACTAACAACTTATTAATAATGACGATTCTTCTTGATTTCTGCCTTGGGCGTGACCCAGTCCCACTGTTTTCCGCATTTGGAAAGTAAGAACAAGTGGGAGGTTTTTGTGCATTTCTCTCTTTTAAACACAGTTGATTTATATTATACATCTGTAAAACCACAGTTAAGTTTTTAAAAATGTGTAATGCATATCAAGTCACAGGTATGTATAATGCATGATTATACTAAGTCAATATATTCTTATATGTCATGTATTTATAATTTTAGGATATAATTTTTGTAAGTATGTCCCAGATGGGCTTCTGAAAAGTTACCTCTGTATGGTGTTTTGTAATGCACTACTGTTTGCAATGCAGAGCTGTATCAGGCACATTGCTGTTTCTCATCTTTTTCAGGGGCAAAAAGAGTCAACAATGGTCCTTTGAAAAGACGCAGGAGAACAGGTAACAAGAGCAGAATGCTAAAATGTACTGTTAACAATTCAAGGTCCGAGCTTTTATTCAGCGCTGCACGTCCTGAGCAGTGAGTGGGTCTCCTGAGCTGGCTTTCTGCAGCTGCCCTAGTGCATGGGGACTGTGGCAGCATGACGGGTTGGTGCTAACACCCACCTGCTGGATTAGCCAGCCGATCCAGGAGGCACCCTAGGTCTGACAGCACCTCCTTAACTGCAGATGCCATTTGAGGAGGGAAAGAAGAGAAGGATGGAAAGGGCACACCCATGTAATGCTTAGCCGACCCTTTCCTTGCACACGTGGAGAGCCATTGGTGGCTCCACCCAGATCCATGTCCTGACTCCCACTCCACCTCTGACTGACATCTGTCCTGTTTTGGCGTGGGAGGTGGTGGTAGATGAACTCCATCAAGTGCCCCAGCTCTGGGCCTGCCCCAGCTCTGGTGGCCTGTGTATCTCCAAGTGGTTCTTGGAGGACTGAGGGCAGCCCATCCTCCTACTTACCAGTGTGCAGCCACTCTGCCACAGAGGTTCTCTCTAAGACTATGCTGCAGTGGAATCAGATCCCTGCAGGCCCCTAGTGCAGGGTGCAGGCTTCCCTGAGTTCCTGCAGCTTCCTCTGCAACACATCCACCCGGCCCCCCATCACACCAAGAGCTGAGTCCAGGAAGTGAAGCAATACACAGGGAGGGGGAGACAGACACCTCCCACTGGGAGCCCACAAGCCGCCCCTGCATGTTCCTGCTCCCCCTGCTGATGCCTCAAGTTGGAGAGGGACAAGACTAAAAGCTACTGGTTTTGCCTCCCATCTACACAATTCCAAATCCATAGCACCAGGAAGCTGTGGGTTGGCCAGCAGCTTGGTGTTCAGACTGTGCCACACAAGACAGGATTTTGGAGGATGGCAGTGGAGGTGACATCATGTTTAGGTGTCCAGACTGCCATAAAAGAACTCAAAATGTAACTCATGGGGGAATCCTTGCTGAGTATTCTAAGCTATGAAGGGGGAATCTTGAAGCTGCTGCCATCAGGGTGCCAGGTGGAGTCCCAGCTGACTGCCTCCTGCCTGGGAACACAGCAGAAGATGGCCCAAGTACTTGGGCACCTGCCTCTCACCCTAAGGACCTGGATGGAGTTCCTGGTTTACCCAGACCTGGCCACTGCAGCCATGAGGGGACTGAAACAGTAGAGAGAATCTCTGGTTATCCCTTCCTCTGTTGTTCAGTCTTTCAAATAAGTAAATAACAAGAACAGCCCATGCATAATAGTAGAGGATAACGAAATGGAAAAAAAATGTATGCTTCCTGCAGGTCGAAGAATTCCCAGGTCGAAGAATTCCCAGAAACACAACTGAAAGAGGAGACAGAACAAACACAGACAGACAAAATCTGAACAACTAAATACAAGCCAAAGCATTAGTACAAGATCAGTTCCAATCCTGGGAAACTCATGACTCCTTAAACCCAGTTAAGTCAGAGCATACCCAAAACTGGATTTACACATTGAGGCATGGGTGTGTGAATGATGTAGGATGTTCCATTCTTTGCACCACAAAGGGAAGTTGGACATTTCTATTGCATTTCTATTTTCAGAATTACTCTGTCAAGTGAACCAATTTCATGTATTCCACAGCACAGATTTAGTAGCATAGTGACTGCCCACCCAACGCTCCCTCCTGGCCACATTCCCCACACACCCTCCTCCTTCCTCATTTCTTCTATAGAAATGTTTACAATGACAGGATTTCAGTTCATTTCACAATCACAGGCTGATCACGGCATTGGATGAAGCATTCAACAAAAGCAAGTAGAAAAAGAAAGCAATGTACAGGGCATAGACCAGGACTGTAAACAATAATCAAACCTCAACATGTCAGTTTTGCTCCTATAGATTACATTTGTTTGTATTTTGTGCATTAGTTACCATAGATGAGGAACGTGCACAATATTTATGTTTCAGGGAACTGGCTTATTTCATTAAGCATAGTGGTTTCCAGTTGCATCCATTTTGTTGCAAAAGACAGGATTTCATCATTTTTTATGGCTGACTAGTGCTTCATACTATATGATTACCACATTTTCTTTATCTATCAATTGGTAGACATCCAGGTTGTTTCATATCTCAGGGCCACAATAAGCATGGAAGTACAAATAACTTTCATATGCTGATAAATTCCCAGGAGTAGAATGGCTCGATTGGATGGTAGATCTGTTTTCAGAATCTCCATGCTGTCTTCCATAATGGCTGTACTAGTTTACATTCTGCCAACATGCTACCCAGCATTTATTCTTCTTAAATTGTTGAATGTGAGGTGAACCCTCATTGTAGTTTTTATTTGCATTTCCCTGATAGCTAGTGTTCCTTAGATTTTTTTCATTTGTTTACTTACCATTTTAATTTTAACTATTGAGAACCATCTTTTCTTCTCATATTCTTTGTCCATTTATTAACTGGATTGATTTGTTATTATACAGTCTGATGCTATTAGGTCATAGGCTTAGATTTTTGATCCATTTTGAGTTGTTTTTTGCATGAAGGGTAAGGTACGTGTCTTGTTTCATACTTCCGCACGCATAGATCCAGTTGTCACAGCAGCATTCATCGACTAGACTGTCTGTTCTGCAGAGATTAACTTTAGCTTATTTGCCAAAGATTTGTTGGCTGGGGATGCATGGGTCAATTTCTGGGGTTTATATTCTGTTCTCTTGGTGCCAGTAACAGGCTGTTTTGATTTCTAAGCTTCAGTTTATTAACTGTCCCATACTATTCCTTGAATTCTGGTATTGCTATCCCTCTGGCTTTTTTGTTTGTTTGTTTAAGAATGCAAAAGTTACTTGGGGTTTATTTTGTTTTGACATAAATTTTGGCATAATTTTTCTAAATATGAGAACAATGTCCTCAATATTTTGATTGAGATCACATTAAATCTAAAAATTGCTTTGATAGTATGGACATTTTGATGATATTAAGTCTTCAAATCCATGAATATGGAAGATGTTTTCCATTTTTATGTGTCGTCTTCCACTTTTTCTTTAATGTTTTGTAGTTTTCATTCTAGAGTTCTTTCAAATCCTTGTTTGAATTTATTCTAAGATATTTAAATTTTGTAGCTATTGTGAGTGGGACTGGTCTTACAAGTTCTTTCTCAGCCATTGCATTGTGTATACGAAGGTTATTGATTTTTGTGTGTTGGCTTTACACCCTATCATTTCGCCCAGTTCCCTCATGAGCTCCAGCAGCCTCTTAGTAGAGTCATTTGGTTCTTCTACATACAGAATCATGCCATCCGTGAACAGGGATAGCTTGAGCTTTTCTTTTCCAATTTGTGTTCCTTTGGCTTCCTTTTCTTGCTTTATGACTCTAACTAAAATTTCTGGGACTCTAATGAAAGCAACAGTGGAAATGGGCATTCTTGTCAGGTTCCAGATCTTAGTAGAAATGCTTACAGTTTTTCCCCATGAATGTGGTGCTCACTGTGGATTTGTCACATGTTCTCTTGATTGTGTTATGGCATGTTCTTCTATATCCAATTTGCTTATGATTTTTTATCATGAAAAGATGTCATATTTTATCAAAGCTTTCTCTGCATCTATGCTTCAGTTTATTCATGCTATGTGTCACATTTCTGGATGTGCATTTGTTAAACAGCCCTTATTACCAAGGATAAATCTCACTTGGCATGAATGAATCACTTTTCTAATACGCAGTGGAGTTGGATTAGCCAGTAATTTTGTTGAGGATTTCTCCATCTTTGTTTATTAGGAATATTGATATGTCGTGTTGTCATTTACATTTGTTTCCAGGAATTTTTAAAAAGAATATTTTTTCTTTTGATTTCTTCTATGATCGACTGTTCATTCAGTGGATTCCTGTGCAAACATATCAGTTTCTGTGTGTTTGCATATTTCCTAGAGTTTGCTAGGCTGTTGCTTTTCACCTTCATTCTATTGTGGTCAGAAAAGCTGCATGGTATGATTTCAATGTTTTGAATTTGCTGAGAATGATTTATGGCCTCAAATACAGTCTTTCCTTAAAAAAAAAATCTCACAGAGTGATGAAAGAATGTGTTCTGCAATGGTGGGGTGAGATGTTCTGTAGACAACGACCAGGTTCATTTAGTCCACAGTGTAGATGAACTCTGTGTGTTTTGTTTGCTTGTTGCTTGCTGATTTTCTGTCTAGTTGATCTGTCCATTGATGAAAGTGGGGTGATGAAGTTCCAATTATTATTATGTAATGATGTCTCCCTTTAGATACACTAACATTTGTTTTAAATAGCCAGCTTTTCACTGACTTTTTCTCCTTCACATTCTGTAATGATGACTATTTTTCCTGGTTTCTATGTGCAGCAGGTTCTTAAGAACCATTTGTAAGGCTAGACAAGTGGTAACAAATTCTCTCCATTTTCTGTTTTTGAAACTCTTTATTTCACCTTGCTTTGCTGGGCACAGTATTCCGGATTGAAACTTTCTTTTAGGACCTGGCCTGTGTGTCTCCATTCTCTCCTAAACTGAAGGGTTTCTTAGAGAAACCAGCTGTTAGTCTGACTGAGAAGCTCCTGAAGGTGATCTGGCATTTCTCTCATGAACATTTTAGAATCTTTTCTTCATGTTTTACTGTTGCATGTTTGACTATAATGTGTCATGGTGAAGATCTTTTCTGATCATATCTAATACAGAGAGTTCTGTGTGCGTCTTGAACTTTATTATCATTTTTTCTCCTCCAAATTAGGGAAGTTTTCTGTCATGATCTCACTTAATAAACATTCTGTTCATTTCACTCTTTCCACACTTTCAGGAACTCCTAAGATACATAAGTTTGGTCATTTGTTAATATCCCACAGAGCTCAAAGACTATCTTTAGTGTTTCTCTTTTTTTTTGTTTTTGTTGTTGTTGTTGGTGGTTTTTTGTCTGACTGAGATATTTCCAAGGATTTGTCTTCTTGCTAGGATATTCTTCCTCCTGCCCCACCAAGTCTGTTGTTAAGATTTTTTTCTGTGTTTCCCATTTGACAGATTGAATTATTCATTTCAAACAGCTAAGTTTAATTTCTTCTCAATATTTATCTCAGAAAAAATAACCATATCATACATTAATTCCTCTGTGTTCGTTTCCCTGTGTTTCTGTGTAATCTTATGATCATTCTTTTTCAGACATTTCATCTATCTCTTCATCATCGTATTTTAATATTGAAGTGCTATGTTTCTTTTGGGGAATCATTATCTTTTCCTTGTGCATGTTGTTTGCATTTCTGCTTTTATTTTTAGGCATGAAACACTTGTTGGTTTCTCCCCTCTGGTGACTTGTATCTTGGCACTGTGCCTCTCTGGCTGGAGTTTCTACTCCTTCAGTAAATATCCAGAGGTGTGTGCTAGGTAGGACCAAGGAGCTCTGAAGCACAAGGGTGGGACAGGAGTCCACAATGACACCTAAGTTGGGCATGATAGATCTTTATGAACAGCAGGGGGAGATATGACCACATTGGCTGGAGTAAGCCCACTGTGACCACAGCATGACCACTGTGAGCCCCCCATGACCATGGTGTGACCAGTGTGAGCCCACCATGAGCATGGTGTGACGACTGTGAGCCCACCATGGTCACAGTATTGCCACTGTGAGTCCGCCATGAGTGTGGTGTGACCAGTGTGAGTCCACTCACTTTCTCACTTCCACGATGATCAATGCCTAGAATTAGTCCACAGTAATGAGTCCATCCACAGAAGCACATAAATTACACAGTATCTGTATGGTCCTCAGGGTGAGCCCGGAACCCTCTGCACTCATGAAACTGTGAGCCTTGAAGTAGCACCTGTGACATCCCTGAGATCCAGCCACTCTCCATGCCCTATCATGCTGTCACAGAGTCCCCACCTTGCTTTGCTGGGCAAGGTACAGTAAGGGGGAAGCCACTCTCAGTCCCATGAACCTGCTAAGCCATGGAGAGAAGCAAGGCATTCCCTGAGCCTCTGCTTAGCCCCCACAATTCCTCTAAGCCAAACTCTGTCAGTGGGGAACAGAAATGTATCCTTCTCATAAAATCCCCTAATCATATATATGCAAGCCACCACAGCTTGGAATTGAAGACTCTGGAACGTCCTGGAAATTATGACAGCGGAGGTTCTTTCTAATAGATTCCCTGGGCAAAATGTGTCTCAAAAATACCCTATCCAGCTTCCATTTTGACGATACCAGGTCAAGGTAATCCCATTTGTTTATTGACGCTGTTATTGGCCCCAAGTCCTGCCTTCATCTCTGCTCATGACCTTGCAGCTCTACACGTTTCCAGAGTGAGTCTGAGATCTCCAGTGCAGGGTAGGGTGAGTGTATTTAGACTTTAGTGCTTGGCTGAGTCCTGGAGATGGGGATGGCTGGTGCTGGCAGAGGGAGAGCCCCTCCATTTCTGGCAACAGGACTAGACCAGCACCTTGCCTTAGGATGCAGAGCATCTGTTGCACCTTCCTTGGATGTTGAGGCATCTGTTGATGTTCTGAATAAATCAGTCAGCTGAACATCACCCACACTCTTTATCTCCAAATACTGGTCCCAACTAGAGGCAAAAGTAGTTTTGTGTGACTTAATTTTTCTAATTTACTACTGCATTAATGAGCTGATGCTGGTTTTAGTATTGTGCAGTGGCTGACTCAAGAAGAGCCATATCCTAATTTCTCCAAGTATTCTACTTCCTAGATATAAAACAGTAGCAAGGGACCAGAGCTCACTGACACACAAGGAACCACTATACAACAGGACTGAGCACTTTGTTACGTATAATGTGACTGGCAACCTGAATTTCTTCATGCTGAGAAGCAAGAGCGACTGCCTACATGCTGTTTCTTTGCTCTGAAGTTGTTTGCTATCAGTACGTTTTAATTAAAAGGGAAATCCAGCTAAGACACAGAGCAAAACCATGTATGTTGCTCAGTAATAGCTATTGCTGCAGATCCAGGTTACATACAACCAGGGCCAGGGCGTCATCTTGGCTACCTTATAGGGAAGGGAAAAGCAGACATAGTCCAGACATAGCACAGGTGTCTTCTCACGGGACCCCAGGGACAAGGGATGGAGGGAAGAGGCAGGGGAAGGAGACAGAGAGACACAGAGAGAACGAATCAGAAAAGGGGCAGAAGAAGAGAACAAGTAGGTTCTCTTTTTCCAAGATATGCCTTCAGCACTGTTAGTGACAGGAGGAGAATCCCACACAGAACAACTTCATGGGCGACTTTGACCCTTGGCAGCCACAGCATTACCCTACTCAGCCCAGTACCACTCTTTGATCAATGCAGAGCAATTTCTGATTCTGAAGATCAAGCAAGAAGTACTCTACCTGCTAGAGTTCTTCATTTCCCCTGCTTGTTCCTCTCAGGCCTTTAGGACCCACTGCCAAGCTCTTACTCCTGAATGCAGGCTTCGTCACCTCTTCCGACAGGTGCCTCCCTGGCATCTTCACTTCCCTCCCGAGGGCAGCGTTTGTGAAGCAGAGCATGTCTTGATCTCGGGTTGTGAGTCCTCTCGGCATGGCAGTCATCCCTTAGTGTCTTAGGAAACCCGTTTTATCCTGGTGAGGTGTATAGTGTATGTAAAACAGAGCCTTGCAACGTGAAGCAATGTGATCAGCACCAAGAAGTCCCGTCTTGGATGGAGGGAAGTACTCTGAGCGGCATCCCGTGGGGGCAGGACTTTAGAAACAATACCTGTTCTGTCCCTTGACTTTAACGCTCAGACACTTTTGAATGGTGCAGCCCTAAGTGCATGTATGGAGAGTGACTCATGTTGAGGGACAACACATCCAATCAGTGCATGAATCAGGCACCTTGCTCCTCTGAAATGCATTTGAATTCAGGTGCTTGTGCTTTTAATTAGACCTTGGCCCTTCATTTCTACAGATTCCCCTCAGTGGCCTGGCTTTTAAGTTCTTGATCACTTCCCTTCTTCTTCAGTACAAAGATTTTATTTAAAGTTTATATTTGTAGCATCAATCTCCTCAGTAAAAGTCACCATAATGTTGGTTTTAAGGCCTTGTATTGTTGCTTTCATATTTTATCTCTGTCTCTTTCCCAAAGGAAACCTGTTCAAAACTTATATTTACTTTCCCTTTTTATCTATGAGCATCACTTTGTCTTTTGTAAAATAATGGTATTACTCTCTGTTTGATAGATTTTTTCTAAGGATGAAGTAAGTTAGTGGAATCAAAAGTCTAAATCAAGTTAACATATTGTCATTATTTTACTCACCCGTGTTATAGCAAATGCTGTTTGCAGATTCTTTGAAATGAATTGGGAGCTGATTTTTAAAATACAGGATATCCAGTTTCAAGCATCTTGCTTGTTAGTAAGACTAGGTAGGGCCCAGCACAATAGCCTAGCAGCTCAAGTCCTCGCTTTGCATGTGCCGGGGTCCCATATGGGCGCTGGTTCTGGTCCCGGCACGCTCCACTTCCCATCCAGCTCCTTGCTTGTGGCCTGGAAAAGCAGTCGAGGATGGCCCAAGGCCTTGGGACCCTGCACCCATGTCGGAGACCTGGAGGAAGTTTCTGGCTCCTGGCTCCAATCAGCACAGCACCAGCCATTGTGCGCACTTGGGGAGTGAATCATCGGACGGAAGATCTTCCTCTCTGTCTCTCTTCCTCTCTGCATATCTGACTTTGTAATAATAATAAATAAATCTTTTGAAAAGACTAGGCAAAAGGTTGGCAAACTACATTCTACAGGTTACATCTAGCCTCCCAACTGCTAATAAAGCTTTATTAGCACACAGTCACAGGCGTTTCCTGTACGTATGGGCATGAATGTTTCCTGGTTTGCCTGCAGAGCTGAGTAGTTGCAGCTGCTAAATATCAGCAGGCCCTCTAAGAAAAGCTCTTGACCTCCAATCAATTAATTTGTTTCACATGTATGTGAAAAGTGTTAGACCCCAAAGGGATGTGGGGAGAACCAGAAGGAACTATGCCTATGGTCCCTGATTCTCACGGTGCGAGCCCCAGGACCTGCAGTTGTAGCTGATCCTGGAAGCTGGTTACCAGCACAGGCAGAGGCAGAGGCCTTGGGTTGGGGCCCGGCCCCCTGTGCTGCAACGCAACCTCAGGTGACCCCAGTGCCTGCCCCCGGGGAGAAGCACCATGTAGGAATGTGGTTGAATAGAACGAAGTAGAATTCCTTAAAAAGTATAGAAAGAACAATCATTAGTATATATCATTACTATGCATCTACTAATGATTATACAGTAATAATAATGAAATGTCGCAGCATATAAAACAAATTTCATGTATATTTTAAGTACTAGAAAGGGTCCTGAAATTTTACCTTTGTGTGGTGTTTTGTAATGAACTGCTGTTTGCGATGCAGTGCTGTAAGTAACAGGCACATTGCTGTTCCTTCTTTCTCAGGGACAAGAAGAGTCAACAGTGATCCTTTGAAAAGAGGCAGGAAGAGAGGTAAAAACAAATGATTGCCACATTTTAAATAGTTAGTAGGAATTAACTAACAACTTATTAATAATGACGATTCTTCTTGATTTCTGCCTTGGGCGTGACCCAGTCCCACTGTTTTCCGCATTTGGAAAGTAAGAACAAGTGGGAGGTTTTTGTGCATTTCTCTCTTTTAAACACAGTTGATTTATATTATACATCTGTAAAACCACAGTTAAGTTTTTAAAAATGTGTAATGCATATCAAGTCACAGGTATGTATAATGCATGATTATACTGTCAATACATTCTTATATGTCATGTATTTATAATTTTAGGATATAATTTTTGTAAGTATGTCCCAGATGGGCTTCTGAAAAGTTACCTCTGTATGGTGTTTTGTAATGCACTACTGTTTGCAATGCAGAGCTGTATCAGGCACATTGCTGTTTCTCATCTTTTTCAGGGGCAAAAAGAGTCAACAATGGTCCTTTGAAAAGACGCAGGAGAACAGGTAACAAGAGCAGAATGCTAAAATGTACTGTTAACAATTCAAGGTCCGAGCTTTTATTCAGCGCTGCACGTCCTGAGCAGTGAGTGGGTCTCCTGAGCTGGCTTTCTGCAGCTGCCCTAGTGCATGGGGACTGTGGCAGCATGACGGGTTGGTGCTAACACCCACCTGCTGGATTAGCCAGCCGATCCAGGAGGCACCCTAGGTCTGACAGCACCTCCTTAACTGCAGATGCCATTTGAGGAGGGAAAGAAGAGAAGGATGGAAAGGGCACACCCATGTAATGCTTAGCCGACCATTTGCTTGCACACGTGGAGAGCCATTGGTGGCTCCACCCAGATCCATGTCCTGACTCCCACTCCACCTCTGACTGACATCTGTCCTGTTTTGGCGTGGGAGGTGGTGGTAGATGAACTCCATCAAGTGCCCCAGCTCTGGGCCTGCCCCAGCTCTGGTGGCCTGTGTATCTCCAAGTGGTTCTTGGAGGACTGAGGGCAGCCCATCCTCCTACTTACCAGTGTGCAGCCACTCTGCCACAGAGGTTCTCTCTAAGACTATGCTGCAGTGGAATCAGATCCCTGCAGGCCCCTAGTGCAGGGTGCAGGCTTCCCTGAGTTCCTGCAGCTTCCTCTGCAACACATCCACCCGGCCCCCCATCACACCAAGAGCTGAGTCCAGGAAGTGAAGCAATACACAGGGAGGGGGAGACAGACACCTCCCACTGGGAGCCCACAAGCCGCCCCTGCATGTTCCTGCTCCCCCTGCTGATGCCTCAAGTTGGAGAGGGACAAGACTAAAAGCTACTGGTTTTGCCTCCCATCTACACAATTCCAAATCCATAGCACCAGGAAGCTGTGGGTTGGCCAGCAGCTTGGTGTTCAGACTGTGCCACACAAGACAGGATTTTGGAGGATGGCAGTGGAGGTGACATCATGTTTAGGTGTCCAGACTGCCATAAAAGAACTCAAAATGTAACTCATGGGGGAATCCTTGCTGAGTATTCTAAGCTATGAAGGGGGAATCTTGAAGCTGCTGCCATCAGGGTGCCAGGTGGAGTCCCAGCTGACTGCCTCCTGCCTGGGAACACAGCAGAAGATGGCCCAAGTACTTGGGCACCTGCCTCTCACCCTAAGGACCTGGATGGAGTTCCTGGTTTACCCAGACCTGGCCACTGCAGCCATGAGGGGACTGAAACAGTAGAGAGAATCTCTGGTTATCCCTTCCTCTGTTGTTCAGTCTTTCAAATAAGTAAATAACAAGAACAGCCCATGCATAATAGTAGAGGATAACGAAATGGAAAAAAAATGTATGCTTCCTGCAGGTCGAAGAATTCCCAGGTCGAAGAATTCCCAGAAACACAACTGAAAGAGGAGACAGAACAAACACAGACAGACAAAATCTGAACAACTAAATACAAGCCAAAGCATTAGTACAAGATCAGTTCCAATCCTGGGAAACTCATGACTCCTTAAACCCAGTTAAGTCAGAGCATACCCAAAACTGGATTTACACATTGAGGCATGGGTGTGTGAATGATGTAGGATGTTCCATTCTGTGCACCACAAAGGGAAGTTAGACATTTCTATTGCATTTCTATTTTCAGAATTACTCTGTCAAGTGAACCAATTTCATGTATTCCACAGCACAGATTTAGTAGCATAGTGACTGCCCACCCAACGCTCCCTCCTGGCCACATTCCCCACACACCCTCCTCCTTCCTCATTTCTTCTATAGAAATGTTTACAATGACAGGATTTCAGTTCATTTCACAATCACAGGCTGATCACGGCATTGGATGAAGCATTCAACAAAAGCAAGTAGAAAAAGAAAGCAATGTACAGGGCATAGACCAGGACTGTAAACAATAATCAAACCTCAACATGTCAGTTTTGCTCCTATAGATTACATTTGTTTGTATTTTGTGCATTAGTTACCATAGATGAGGAACGTGCACAATATTTATGTTTCAGGGAACTGGCTTATTTCATTAAGCATAGTGGTTTCCAGTTGCATCCATTTTGTTGCAAAAGACAGGATTTCATCATTTTTTATGGCTGACTAGTGCTTCATACTATATGATTACCACATTTTCTTTATCTATCAATTGGTAGACATCCAGGTTGTTTCATATCTCAGGGCCACAATAAGCATGGAAGTACAAATAACTTTCATATGCTGATAAATTCCCAGGAGTAGAATGGCTCGATTGGATGGTAGATCTGTTTTCAGAATCTCCATGCTGTCTTCCATAATGGCTGTACTAGTTTACATTCTGCCAACATGCTACCCAGCGTTTATTCTTCTTAAATTGTTGAATGTGAGGTGAAACCTCATTGTAGTTTTTATTTGCATTTCCCTGATAGCTAGTGTTCCTTAGATTTTTTTCATTTGTTTACTTACCATTTTAATTTTAACTATTGAGAACCATCTTTTCTTCTCATATTCTTTGTCCATTTATTAACTGGATTGATTTGTCATTATACAGTCTGATGCTAATTAGGTCATAGGCTTAGATTTTTGATCCATTTTGAGTTTTTTTTGCATGAAGGGTAAGGTACGTGTCTTCTATCATACTTCCGCACACATAGATCCAGTTGTCACAGCAGCATTCATCGACTAGACTGTCTGTTCTGCAGAGATTAACTTTAGCTTATTTGCCAAAGATTTGTTGGCTGGGGATGCATGGGTCAATTTCAGGGGTTTATATTCTATTCTCTTGGTGCCAGTAACAGGCTGTTTTGATTTCTAAGCTTCAGTTTATTAACTGTCCCGTACTATGCCCTGAATTCTGGTATTGCTATCCCTCTGGCTTTTTTGTTTGTTTGTTTAAGAATGCAAAAGTTACTTGGGGTTTATTTTGTTTTGACATAAATTTTGGCATAATTTTTCTAAATATGAGAACAATGTCCTCAATATTTTGATTGAGATCACATTAAATCTAAAAATTGCTTTGATAGTATGGACATTTTGATGATATTAAGTCTTCAAATCCATGAATATGGAAGATTTTTTCCATTTTTATGTGTCGTCTTCCACTTTTTCTTTAATGTTTTGTAGTTTTCATTCTAGAGTTCTTTCAAATCCTTGTTTGAATTTATTCTAAGATATTTAAATTTTGTAGCTATTGTGAGTGGGACTGGTCTTACAAGTTCTTTCTCAGCCATTGCATTGTGTATACGAAGGTTATTGATTTTTGTGTGTTGGCTTTACACCCTATCATTTCGCCCAGTTCCCTCATGAGCTCCAGCAGCCTCTTAGTAGAGTCATTTGGTTCTTCTACATACAGAATCATGCCACCCGTGAGCAGGGATAGCTTGAGCTTTTCTTTTCCAATTTGTGTTCCTTTGGCTTCCTTTTCTTGCTTTATGACTCTAACTAAAATTTCTGGGACTCTAATGAAAGCAACAGTGGAAATGGGCATTCTTGTCAGGTTCCAGATCTTAGTAGAAATGCTTACAGTTTTTCCCCATGAATGTGGTGCTCACTGTGGATTTGTCACATGTTCTCTTGATTGTGTTATGGCATGTTCTTCTATATCCAATTTGCTTATGATTTTTTATCATGAAAAGATGTCATATTTTATCAAAGCTTTCTCTGCATCTATGCTTCAGTTTATTCATGCTATGTGTCACATTTCTGGATGTGCATTTGTTAAACAGCCCTTATTACCAAGGATAAATCTCACTTGGCATGAATGAATCACTTTTCTAATACGCAGTGGAGTTGGATTAGCCAGTAATTTTGTTGAGGATTTCTCCATCTTTGTTTATTAGGAATATTGATATGTCGTGTTGTCATTTACATTTGTTTCCAGGAATTTTTAAAAAGAATATTTTTTCTTTTGATTTCTTCTATGATCGACTGTTCATTCAGTGGATTCCTGTGCAAACATATCAGTTTCTGTGTGTTTGCATATTTCCTAGAGTTTGCTAGGCTGTTGCTTTTCACCTTCATTCTATTGTGGTCAGAAAAGTTGCATGGTATGATTTCAATGTTTTGAATTTGCTGAGAATGATTTATGGCCTCAAATACAGTCTTTCCTTAAAAAAAAAATCTCACAGAGTGATGAAAGAATGTGTTCTGCAATGGTGGGGTGAGATGTTCTGTAGACAACGACCAGGTTCATTTAGTCCACAGTGTAGATGAACTCTGTGTGTTTTGTTTGCTTGTTGCTTGCTGATTTTCTGTCTAGTTGATCTGTCCATTGATGAAAGTGGGGTGATGAAGTTCCAATTATTATTATGTAATGATGTCTCCCTTTAGATACACTAACATTTGTTTTAAATAGCCAGCTTTTCACTGACTTTTTCTCCTTCACATTCTGTAATGATGACTATTTTTCCTGGTTTCTATGTGCAGCAGGTTCTTAAGAACCATTTGTAAGGCTAGACAAGTGGTAACAAATTCTCTCCATTTTCTGTTTTTGAAACTCTTTATTTCACCTTGCTTTGCTGGGCACAGTATTCCGGATTGAAACTTTCTTTTAGGACCTGGCCTGTGTGTCTCCATTCTCTCCTAAACTGAAGGGTTTCTTAGAGAAACCAGCTGTTAGTCTGACTGAGAAGCCCCTGAAGGTGATCTGGCATTTCTCTCATGAACATTTTAGAATCTTTTCTTCATGTTTTACTGTTGCGTGTTTGACTATAATGTGTCATGGTGAAGATCTTTTCTGATCATATCTAATACAGAGAGTTCTGTGTGCGTCTTGAACTTTATTATCATTTTTTCTCCTCCAAATTAGGGAAGTTTTCTGTCATGATCTCACTTAATAAACATTCTGTTCATTTCACTCTTTCCACACTTTCAGGAACTCCTAAGATACATAAGTTTGGTCATTTGTTAATATCCCACAGAGCTCAAAGACTATCTTTAGTGTTTCTCTTTTTTTTTGTTTTTGTTGTTGTTGTTGTTGGTTTTTTGTCTGACTGAGATATTTCCAAGGATTTGTCTTCTTGCTAGGATATTCTTCCTCCTGCCCCACCAAGTCTGTTGTTAAGATTTTTTTCTGTGTTTCCCATTTGACAGATTGAATTATTCATTTCAAACAGCTAAGTTTAATTTCTTCTCAATATTTATCTCAGAAAAAATAACCATATCATACATTAATTCCTCTGTGTTCGTTTCCCTGTGTTTCTGTGTAATCTTATGATCATTCTTTTTCAGACATTTCATCTATCTCTTCATCATCGTATTTTAATATTGAAGTGCTATGTTTCTTTTGGGGAATCATTATCTTTTCCTTGTGCATGTTGTTTGCATTTCTGCTTTTATTTTTAGGCATGAAACACTTGTTGGTTTCTCCCCTCTGGTGACTTGTATCTTGGCACTGTGCCTCTCTGGCTGGAGTTTCTACTCCTTCAGTAAATATCCAGAGGTGTGTGCTAGGTAGGACCAAGGAGCTCTGAAGCACAAGGGTGGGACAGGAGTCCACAATGACACCTAAGTTGGGCATGATAGATCTTTATGAACAGCAGGGGGAGATATGACCACATTGGCTGGAGTAAGCCCACTGTGACCACAGCATGACCACTGTGAGCCCCCCATGACCATGGTGTGACCAGTGTGAGCCCACCATGAGCATGGTGTGACGACTGTGAGCCCACCATGGTCACAGTATTGCCACTGTGAGTCCGCCATGAGTGTGGTGTGACCAGTGTGAGTCCACTCACTTTCTCACTTCCACGATGATCAATGCCTAGAATTAGTCCACAGTAATGAGTCCATCCACAGAAGCACATAAATTACACAGTATCTGTATGGTCCTCAGGGTGAGCCCGGAACCCTCTGCACTCATGAAACTGTGAGCCTTGAAGTAGCACCTGTGACATCCCTGAGATCCAGCCACTCTCCATGCCCTATCATGCAGTCACAGAGTCCCCACCTTGCTTTGCTGGGCAAGGTACAGTAAGGGGGAAGCCACTCTCAGTCCCATGAACCTGCTAAGCCATGGAGAGAAGCAAGGCATTCCCTGAGCCTCTGCTTAGCCCCCACAATTCCTCTAAGCCAAACTCTGTCAGTGGGGAACAGAAATGTATCCTTCTCATAAAATCCCCTAATCATATATATGCAAGCCACCACAGCTTGGAATTGAAGACTCTGGAACGTCCTGGAAATTATGACAGCGGAGGTTCTTTCTAATAGATTCCCTGGGCAAAATGTGTCTCAAAAATACCCTGTCCAGCTTCCATTTTGACGATACCAGGTCAAGGTAATCCCATTTGTTTATTGACGCTGTTATTGGCCCCAAGTCCTGCCTTCATCTCTGCTCATGACCTTGCAGCTCTACACGTTTCCAGAGTGAGTCTGAGATCTCCAGTGCAGGGTAGGGTGAGTGTATTTAGACTTTAGTGCTTGGCTGAGTCCTGGAGATGGGGATGGCTGGTGCTGGCAGAGGGAGAGCCCCTCCATTTCTGGCAACAGGACTAGACCGGCACCTTCCCTTAGGATGCAGAGCATCTGTTGCACCTTCCTTGGATGTTGAGGCATCTGTTGATGTTCTGAATAAATCAGTCAGCTGAACATCACCCACACTCTTTATCTCCAAATACTGGTCCCAACTAGAGGCAAAAGTAGTTTTGTGTGACTTAATTTTTCTAATTTACTACTGCATTAATGAGCTGATGCTGGTTTTAGTATTGTGCAGTGGCTGACTCAAGAAGAGCCATATCCTAATTTCTCCAAGTATTCTACTTCCTAGATATAAAACAGTAGCAAGGGACCAGAGCTCACTGACACACAAGGAACCACTATACAACAGGACTGAGCACTTTGTTACGTATAATGTGACTGGCAACCTGAATTTCTTCATGCTGAGAAGCAAGAGCGACTGCCTACATGCTGTTTCTTTGCTCTGAAGTTGTTTGCTATCAGTACGTTTTAATTAAAAGGGAAATCCAGCTAAGACACAGAGCAAAACCATGTATGTTGCTCAGTAATAGCTATTGCTGCAGATCCAGGTTACATACAACCAGGGCCAGGGCGTCATCTTGGCTACCTTATAGGGAAGGGAAAAGCAGACATAGTCCAGACATAGCACAGGTGTCTTCTCATGGGACCACAGGGACAAGGGATGGAGGGAAGAGGCAGGGGAAGGAGACAGAGAGACACAGAGAGAACGAATCAGAAAAGGGGCAGAAGAAGAGAACAAGTAGGTTCTCTTTTTCCAAGATATGCCTTCAGCACTGTTAGTGACAGGAGGAGAATCCCACACAGAACAACTTCATGGGTGACTTTGACCCTTGGCAGCCACAGCATTACCCTACTCAGCCCAGTACCACTCTTTGATCAATGCAGAGCAATTTCTGATTCTGAAGATCAAGCAAGAAGTACTCTACCTGCTAGAGTTCTTCATTTCCCCTGCTTGTTCCTCTCAGGCCTTTAGGACCCACTGCCAAGCTCTTACTCCTGAATGCAGGCTTCGTCACCTCTTCCGACAGGTGCCTCCCTGGCATCTTCACTTCCCTCCCGAGGGCAGCGTTTGTGAAGCAGAGCATGTCTTGATCTCGGGTTGTGAGTCCTCTCGGCATGGCAGTCATCCCTTAGTGTCTTAGGAAACCCGTTTTATCCTGGTGAGGTGTATAGTGTATGTAAAACAGAGCCTTGCAACGTGAAGCAATGTGATCAGCACCAAGAAGTCCCGTCTTGGATGGAGGGAAGTACTCTGAGCGGCATCCCGTGGGGGCAGGACTTTAGAAACAATACCTGTTCTGTCCCTTGACTTTAACGCTCAGACACTTTTGAATGGTGCAGCCCTAAGTGCATGTATGGAGAGTGACTCATGTTGAGGGACAACACATCCAATCAGTGCATGAATCAGGCACCTTGCTCCTCTGAAATGCATTTGAATTCAGGTGCTTGTGCTTTTAATTAGACCTTGGCCCTTCATTTCTACAGATTCCCCTCAGTGGCCTGGCTTTTAAGTTCTTGATCACTTCCCTTCTTCTTCAGTACAAAGATTTTATTTAAAGTTTATATTTGTAGCATCAATCTCCTCAGTAAAAGTCACCATAATGTTGGTTTTAAGGCCTTGTATTGTTGCTTTCATATTTTATCTCTGTCTCTTTCCCAAAGGAAACCTGTTCAAAACTTATATTTACTTTCCCTTTTTATCTATGAGCATCACTTTGTCTTTTGTAAAATAATGGTATTACTCTCTGTTTGATAGATTTTTTCTAAGGATGAAGTAAGTTAGTGGAATCAAAAGTCTAAATCAAGTTAACATATTGTCATTATTTTACTCACCCGTGTTATAGCAAATGCTGTTTGCAGATTCTTTGAAATGAATTGGGAGCTGATTTTTAAAATACAGGATATCCAGTTTCAAGCATCTTGCTTGTTAGTAAGACTAGGTAGGGCCCAGCACAATAGCCTAGCAGCTCAAGTCCTCGCTTTGCATGTGCCGGGGTCCCATATGGGCGCTGGTTCTGGTCCCGGCACGCTCCACTTCCCATCCAGCTCCTTGCTTGTGGCCTGGAAAAGCAGTCGAGGATGGCCCAAGGCCTTGGGACCCTGCACCCATGTCGGAGACCTGGAGGAAGTTTCTGGCTCCTGGCTCCAATCAGCACAGCACCAGCCATTGTGCGCACTTGGGGAGTGAATCATCGGACGGAAGATCTTCCTCTCTGTCTCTCTTCCTCTCTGCATATCTGACTTTGTAATAATAATAAATAAATCTTTTGAAAAGACTAGGCAAAAGGTTGGCAAACTACATTCTACAGGTTACATCTAGCCTCCCAACTGCTAATAAAGCTTTATTAGCACACAGTCACAGGCGTTTCCTGTACGTATGGGCATGAATGTTTCCTGGTTTGCCTGCAGAGCTGAGTAGTTGCAGCTGCTAAATATCAGCAGGCCCTCTAAGAAAAGCTCTTGACCTCCAATCAATTAATTTGTTTCACATGTATGTGAAAAGTGTTAGACCCCAAAGGGATGTGGGGAGAACCAGAAGGAACTATGCCTATGGTCCCTGATTCTCACGGTGCGAGCCCCAGGACCTGCAGTTGTAGCTGATCCTGGAAGCTGGTTACCAGCACAGGCAGAGGCAGAGGCCTTGGGTTGGGGCCCGGCCCCCTGTGCTGCAACGCAACCTCAGGTGACCCCAGTGCCTGCCCCCGGGGAGAAGCACCATGTAGGAATGTGGTTGAATAGAACGAAGTAGAATTCCTTAAAAAGTATAGAAAGAACAATCATTAGTATATATCATTACTATGCATCTACTAATGATTATACAGTAATAATAATGAAATGTCGCAGCATATAAAACAAATTTCATGTATATTTTAAGTACTAGAAAGGGTCCTGAAATTTTACCTTTGTGTGGTGTTTTGTAATGAACTGCTGTTTGCGATGCAGTGCTGTAAGTAACAGGCACATTGCTGTTCCTTCTTTCTCAGGGACAAGAAGAGTCAACAGTGATCCTTTGAAAAGAGGCAGGAAGAGAGGTAAAAACAAATGATTGCCACATTTTAAATAGTTAGTAGGAATTAACTAACAACTTATTAATAATGACGATTCTTCTTGATTTCTGCCTTGGGCGTGACCCAGTCCCACTGTTTTCCGCATTTGGAAAGTAAGAACAAGTGGGAGGTTTTTGTGCATTTCTCTCTTTTAAACACAGTTGATTTATATTATACATCTGTAAAACCACAGTTAAGTTTTTAAAAATGTGTAATGCATATCAAGTCACAGGTATGTATAATGCATGATTATACTGTCAATACATTCTTATATGTCATGTATTTATAATTTTAGGATATAATTTTTGTAAGTATGTCCCAGATGGGCTTCTGAAAAGTTACCTCTGTATGGTGTTTTGTAATGCACTACTGTTTGCAATGCAGAGCTGTATCAGGCACATTGCTGTTTCTCATCTTTTTCAGGGGCAAAAAGAGTCAACAATGGTCCTTTGAAAAGACGCAGGAGAACAGGTAACAAGAGCAGAATGCTAAAATGTACTGTTAACAATTCAAGGTCCGAGCTTTTATTCAGCGCTGCACGTCCTGAGCAGTGAGTGGGTCTCCTGAGCTGGCTTTCTGCAGCTGCCCTAGTGCATGGGGACTGTGGCAGCATGACGGGTTGGTGCTAACACCCACCTGCTGGATTAGCCAGCCGATCCAGGAGGCACCCTAGGTCTGACAGCACCTCCTTAACTGCAGATGCCATTTGAGGAGGGAAAGAAGAGAAGGATGGAAAGGGCACACCCATGTAATGCTTAGCCGACCATTTGCTTGCACACGTGGAGAGCCATTGGTGGCTCCACCCAGATCCATGTCCTGACTCCCACTCCACCTCTGACTGACATCTGTCCTGTTTTGGCGTGGGAGGTGGTGGTAGATGAACTCCATCAAGTGCCCCAGCTCTGGGCCTGCCCCAGCTCTGGTGGCCTGTGTATCTCCAAGTGGTTCTTGGAGGACTGAGGGCAGCCCATCCTCCTACTTACCAGTGTGCAGCCACTCTGCCACAGAGGTTCTCTCTAAGACTATGCTGCAGTGGAATTAGATCCCTGCAGGCCCCTAGTGCAGGGTGCAGGCTTCCCTGAGTTCCTGCAGCTTCCTCTGCAACACATCCACCCGGCCCCCCATCACACCAAGAGCTGAGTCCAGGAAGTGAAGCAATACACAGGGAGGGGGAGACAGACACCTCCCACTGGGAGCCCACAAGCCACCCCTGCATGTTCCTGCTCCCCCTGCTGATGCCTCAAGTTGGAGAGGGACAAGACTAAAAGCTACTGGTTTTGCCTCCCAGGAAGCTGTGGGTTGGCCAGCAGCTTGGTGTTCAGACTGTGCCACACAAGACAGGATTTTGGAGGATGGCAGTGGAGGTGACATCATGTTTAGGTGTCCAGACTGCCATAAAAGAACTCAAAATGTAACTCATGGGGGAATCCTTGCTGAGTATTCTAAGCTATGATTGGGGAATCTTGAACTGTTGCTGTCAGGGTGCCAGGTGGAGTCCCAGCTGACTGCCTCCTGCCTGGGAACACAGCAGAAGATGGCCCAAGTACTTGGGCACCTGCCACTCACCCTAAGGACCTGGATGGAGTTCCTGGTTTACCCAGACCTGGCCACTGCAGCCATGAGGGGACTGAAACAGTGGAGAGAATCTCTGGTTATCCCTTTCTCTGTTGTTCAGTCTTTCAAATAAGTAAATAACAAGAACAGCCCATGCATAATAGTAGAGGATAACGAAATGGAAAAAAAATGTATGCTTCCTGCAGGTCGAAGAATTCCTATACAAAAAATTGCAAAATTCAACGGTCCTGAGCTTCCCGTCGAATGTGGACCCATGGAGGGGATTCTATACAAGAATCTGCTGCAACAAGGTGAGCTTCATGGGCTTCTGTGAGTTACCGCTGAAATGCCCCTGCAAAGAGCGTGCAGTTCAGGAGGCAGACCCCCATGCTGAGCCTCCAAGTCCTGCTGTGTTCTGTAACATCGCCAGGAGAAGCCCTAGGACTCAGTCTGCAGCTGTGCCCCCAGCCAGTGGTTCTCTAAGTGAAGGACAGCACAGCAGAGTCAGCAAAGGAAAAAGACACTTAGCTCTGGTCCAGAGGAGACCGAGAACAAGCCCCTTGGGAGCCCTATCTGCTGCAGGCGCATAGGGCACAGTCCTGCATGTGTCACATGGTGACTGCCAGGGAAAGCCAGGATTTCCATCAAAAGGTAATCAGTCATGGAGACGGCCTCTCCATGGCGCATTCCCAATCCCAAACTCACAGAAGGAAAGCAGGTGTTCTGCATAAGCTGCGTGGCTTGCACACACACACTTGCAGGCACAGCTGACCACTCTTCTCAGTTCTGAGGATGGCAGAACCCCTCCTGAACTCCATCCCATAAGGCCAGCTCAGGACCGACCATTCCCCATTGGCTCTTCTAAGGATAGTCCCAGGCTCATGGTGCTAGCTTTCTTATACACACACGCCAGATGTCCTGTAGTAACAGTGGCTTTTCCAACCTCTGAAATGCGTAAGACATTAGCCTACTGGGCCATATCTCCTCTCATCATGAGAAAGGTCCACAGGATGCCATTTAGCACTTGACACCAGCTCAAGCAGCTCAAAACCTGGATTAAAAAAATGCACACATCTGAGAAATCCCACAGGCCCTTCATGGGCCCTCTCCCCATAGCAGCCTTATGCTAGGGGCGCAGAGCTCAGGATTTGGAATCAGAAGAAAGATCGGCAGCCTGTTTCAGATACACTACGGTGTGTCAGTCAGTTTTCCATTCCTACAATGAAATACCAGAGGCAAGCTCCGTTATAACAAAAAGAGGTTGGCATAGCTCTTGTGTTTGGAGGCTGCAAGTGTGAGATGAGGCAGCCACATGTGTCCACCCTCTAGTGAGGGCCTCCTGATGGATGGCACCTGGATGGGTGGACATGAGAGGAGAGCACACTGCAAAGCAGAAAGCCCAAGAGCAGCTGGACTCCTGCGATTCCTTCTGTGGGCAGCCCCTCAAGCACCTGCAGGGTTCCCATGAGGCCCGACTTCTTCAGGGTCCAGCCACTTCTCCCATGGCCACACTAAGGACCTAGCATCCCACACATGAAGACTTGGGGGACAAACTCAGAAAATGCCTTCGCCATGACAGTGTGCGTCAGGTGTGACATGATACTCAGTCGCTGTGGCTCTTAACTTCCCCCCACACACAATGAGAACAAGTAAAACTTGCCTCCCCCTTCTCTGCCAGTTTCTCCCACTTCCACAGTATACCTCTGGGCTCCAATGGCTGTTTAAGTATTTGCTCTATGATTCTATTTCATATTTGTAACTTAACTTTTCACTTTGGAAAACATTTCTGTAATAGAAGGTTTATTTAGTGCCTCACACTGTGTCTCACTAAATCTTCACCTTGCAAGCACCAGAATCTAGTTCAGGTCTCAGATGCTCCACTTCCCATCCAGCTCTCTGCTTGTGGCCTGGGAAAGCAGCCGAGGACAGCCCCAAGCCTTGGGACCCTTCACCTGCGTGGGTGACCAGGTAGAAGCTCCTGGCTCCTGGCTTCAGCTCAGCTCCAGCTGTTGAAAATGTTTGGGGAGTCATCCAGCAGATGAAAGATTTTTCTGTTTCTCCTCTCTGTGAATCTGCCATTCCAATTAAATAAATGTATCTCAAAATATTTATTTCCATTGGAAAGGCAGGCTTATTTACAGAGAGAAGGAGAGACAGAGAAAGATCTTCCATCTGCTGCAGGTTCACTCTTCAAATGGTCGCAACAGCCGAAGCTGAGCCTATCCAAAACCAGGAGCCAGGAACTTCTTCCAGGTCCCCCACGTGTGTTCAGGGTCCCAAGACCTTAGGCCAGCCTCTGCTGCTTTCCCAGGCCATTAGCAGGGAACTGGATTGGAAATGCAGCAGCCAGGATTCCAACCGACACCCATATGGGTTGCTGGTGGAGGATTAGCCTGTTGAGTCATAACACCAGAATCCTATAATAATAGTTAGTTTTAGCATGAAGTAGCCATGAGTACAGACCATGATAAAGAGTTGATGATCAATCATTATCTTGAGGAATGAAGTTATGCAAGTCATGGTGGAAGTAGCTGTAAAGACAGTTTCCACATGGCTACATATAGCATGGGGCTGTATGTCCTCATCTGTCCCACTGATGTTTAGGCTGGCACAGAACCAGAGAGAGACAGGGAGGACAGTCCTGCTTGTTCTTCAGTGCTGCTCAACTGCTTTTTATCATAATAAAATATTGTGAACGGATAAATATTGCTGGCAGTTATTCTCCACCTCACTGCATGAAAGTCCCAGACACAAATACACGATGCAGAGTCTCCTTCAACCTTGACCTTTCTTTCTGGGAATGGAGCACTGAGGTCTGTTGGGGAAACAGTCTCCTGCGACAGATGCAGAACCCCAGATGGGCAGCTCCACGGCCAGGGTGGTAGGAAGCCAGGCTTTAGTGCTGTCGCCATGGAGGAGCTAACCTTGTCCTGATCTTACAGGCTCCAGTCAGAAGTGTATACAGGGTGAGGATGGACGGTTCTTCACCCTGCGAGAATTTGAAATTGAAGGCGGCTACAAGGCATCCAGGAACTGGAAGCAAAGCGTGCGCTGCCTCGGGTGGCCCCTGAAATTTTTGATCCAGGTATTTTGGTGACTTGAGGTCTTGTCAATGCTTTACCATCAAGATTCACCAGTCTGGACTTTGGGGGACCTTTGCTGTGTCCACAAAGCCATCCTGACTACATCCCAGGGTGACAATGCAATTGTAGCTTTACTGCACAACTCAGTGTCTCCATGATTGGCTTGCTTTACAGCCTGGTCCTGTAACTACATTAGCATGTCCCCTTTGGGGGACAGGATGGTTGGCACCTTGTGGTCTTCATTCTGCCACAAAGGAATTGTGCAGTGGGTCACATGAGGGGAGAAGGGAGTGTGCAACTTTAGGAACCAATAAATGTACCGTCATAGAATTATGTATATGGAAATGCTGAATGGTGTGGGTAGTTCCTAGATTCTAGTGTATTTCAGCTAGATGAACCAGTCAGTGTTAACCTTGAAAGAGGACATAAACAGAGTACATTATAAGTGATAGCTTTGCCCCTTCCATGAATCCCCTGGCATGGACAAGGCAGGAACAGGCTCTCCGTGCAGATGAACCTGTTGAATTTCAAACCCGGATACTGAGCTCTTCCAGCACACCTCAGACAGTCCTTGCTTGTGGCATTCTTGCAATGAAGAAAGGGATTTTTGTAAAGCAAATATTTAATGAGCTCCATCTCAAGCTACAAGAGAGGACCAGGTATGAATCCCAAACTAGGGAGATGGCTGCCCCCAACCACGGAGTAGCATGGGGCGCATGCTGGAGTAAGGAGCATTGGCAGGAGGTGAGGAAGCAGCTGGATGAGGGACTGTCGTTTCTGGCTCTGAAGTCAAGGGCAGATTCCCAGGACAGTTTTCATGTCCAAGAACAGTCTGGCAAACAAGAATGATGAACAGGGCATCATATGTGCACACAAAGGACAGCCAGAATTGTGCTGCGCCATGTGCTGGGACACATCTGGTTAAAAAGGCTCCAGTTGTTAGCTCAGCTGATGGTAGAGGGCAGGAAGCCCTCCATCACCAGAGCATCGTGGAAAACAATCTCCATGAAGACATCTTGACTTAGAGCTGACAGTGAGACACCCCGATAGAAATTGCTAGAAGATAGTCATAGACACAAGCCTCACAGAACAAAGGCAAGATCCATGATGTCGCTGACTGTTTCTGTCTTTCAGAAAGGATTTCTGCAAAACCCACCAAGAAGCAGAAGAAAGGTGATTATCGCCTGACTTCCTACCAGTGTCTCATCCATCCAATCTCTGATTTTCCGTGATAAAATTAATTTTATTCTTGATGCTCTTGCTGCTTCCAAACATCGCACAAGGTAGGAGGCTTTGGGCACTGGAAGCTGCAGCTGGAGATGGGAGCAGTCCTGCAGAATAAATGATCAGAGTGAGCCCCCCTGGTATGTATTTCACTGTCACGCCACCTCCAGTGGAGCCTGCGTGAGAAATCACCAGGCCGAGGCGGAAGCTTCAAGGAAGGATGCCTCCTGGACTCGGCTGCATCTCTAGTGGTCTTGGCATTCCTGACTGTGCTCTCTTTGCTCTTATCTTCATGGCTGGAATAATACTACTTGTGTTCGGCAAAGGCTCAATGTTCCTTTATAGTTCTATGAAGCCTTCTGACAGGAGACTGGACAAGGCTGGCAAGCAGTCTGAGATAAAACTATCAGGTCACTAGCTTTAACAAACCTACCTGGGACTATGTTTGAGAATTCCTAAAAAGAAGATTATAGTGGAAATCTATAGCTTAAAACACCATACAGGAAGAAAAACTAAGAAAAATAGACAGGTTAATATTAAAGCCAATGTAAGGCACAAAACACAATGAGAGCTAAGCGCTTAATGATTAAAACTGCAGCTGGTGCCACACCGCATCCACAAGAAATAGCAACTGCAGGCTGTCACCAGGCTGTTAGAGAACAATCTTTTATCAGCAGACCCACTTACCTCCCTGGAATAATTGTTTGTGGAAATGTAACCACATGAATAAACAAAGAGAACATCCCTTTGCAATCATCTACTATATATAAGCTGATGCCTTGCTTTTGCAAAATTCACTCACATACAACTGCCTTGAGTTGTCATGTCTGCTTGTCAACCCCGAATTCTTGCCCACCGTTCCAGGGATCCTGTTCCCGTCGGACTGATTGCTCCCAGCTGAGCCAGTCTGTCGCATTTCACTAGATCTGAAATGTCGTACTTTCTTAGAGCTAAGCACAGACGATGGGAGTGGAGTTTAAAAAGCAAGTGTGGGTTTGAAATACATACAGGGAAGGAGCAGCTGTTTCGCTGGGAACATCCTATGATCACACTAAATGACCTAATGTAGAATTCCCCAGGGAACGAACATCACCCAATGGCCAAACAACAAAAACACATCCTCTGCCTTTCATGCATACTTTCCCTGCACTGCACATAAGCTTGTATACACACACACACACACACACACACACACACACACACACACGGGAAATGCTTTTGCTTTATTACATTCTGAGAAGAACAGGACTGCAGCAGAAGTGCCCTGTAAGCCTGCTGATCTGCAGTCTCTCCTTTGTGAAGAGACCTCGGCCTATCAGAGGGGCTCTACAGACCCCATGCCATCAGTGATGGTGGAGACTCCCTCCGTGTGAGCGAGCCATTATGGAGTTCACAGACCAGCGACCTCCATGCTGTGTGGACTCCAGAGAAAGTAGTGAAAGCACTGCCTTGCCTGTCCTCGCCAAGGCTGCAGGTGAGAGAGCAAGCACGTGGTGCAGGAGTGTCAGGGAAGGACTTCCATTTCCATAACCTGTGGCATAGGTAACCTTCCACATCCCTTGCATACCAGGAAGCCAGTCCTCACAAAGATGGCCAGGGGCCATTTTCTTCACTGACTTGATAACTAGAGATGCAGGGACAGGCTTCTGCATCCACCAAGGTTTCTGGAGAGAAGTGATTTGATCTATTGATTAAGTGAGTTCAGCATAGGCTAATCAAAAGCTGGTCATCTCCCTTCCCTTCGCTTCATCACAGGTGCTCCCCCGCCATGCCCTAAGCACCTGCTCCAAAGGTGAAACCACCTCAGCTCCCAGAGGGTCTCTCCACCGGGTCTTCTACCCCAGCCCTTGGTTTCTGATTCTTGTGTTATGCATCCATTCAACAAGCAACTGTGGAGCAGCTATTAGGTGCCAGGTGTTATGCTGATCAGTGGTAATGCAGAGCAGGCCAATATGACCGAATTGTGTAAGCCTCCTGCCTGACCTGGCATAATAATACATGGTGGGGCTGGGGGAAAATGGAATTCTGCACCACTCAAAGAGGTGGGCAGTAACATGGCCATCATCTCCAGTCTGTGTGGTCTGAGTCACACTGAGTGCTGTGGGCAGGAGGTAAGAGCTGGGGTAGCCATTGTTCTAGGCTGGAGGGAGGCCAAGCCATCCCAGATACCCAGGGTCCATGTAGCTGGGATTCAGGAGAATGTGGAGAAGTCCCATCTTGAGGAAGAAGAGCTGTGAGCACTGGAGACTCTGGGAACTTGTGGTCCTCAGCATTGCATCCCACTGAGGAGGTCTTTTGGGGGCTGCTGCATTGCTCTGAACTGAATGGTTATGAGAGTCAGTGAATGGTGACCCAGCCTGGTTTCCACGGTCCTAACTTAGAGGAAAAGGGCCAAGGGCCCCCACGTGGGAGGACCAGCACAGTGTCGTGGCTTAGTCTGGGAACCAAGGCCAGGCTCCCTGCATGGCCTCCAAAGGCCTGCACCTGGGGTTGAAGAACCAGGTCTGAAACCTACTTAAAGCCAAACCTCCATGAACACAGTAATGAATGCTTTCCATTCTCTAGTTCGACACCCAGCCACATAAACACAGATACAAAATGAAACCAAGGGAGGGCTGTGGCACAAAAGACTGAAATGTTCTGTTCAGGTGTCACAGGTTAAACTGCTGCCTACAACACTGGCATGCCATCTGAGTGCTGGCTGAAGTTCTGGCTGCTCCACTTCTGATCCTAGTCCCTGCTGATGCACCTGGGCAATGCAGCGAAAGGTGGCCCAGGTGCTTGGGCTTCTACTTCACATGGGAGAGACCCAGATGGAGTCCCAGGAGTCAGGCTTGAGGCTGGCTCAGTCCCAGCTGCTGTGATCATAGGGGAGTGAACCAGACGAGTCTCTGTGTGTGTGTGTGTGTGTGTGTGTGTGTGTGCCCCTCTTCCTCTGTAAGTCTAACAAATCTTTAAAAAATAATTCTTTTAAAACTATACTCATGAAACTATGACTCATGAAAGGTCATATCCAATATTGTGACTCAGTCTTTCTCTTTTCCACAGCGTACACAGCAGTCTGACAGCAGCATCTCTATTGACCCTTATGTAAGTACAGTCTCCTTCCTGTGATCCTGTGAGAGTCCGGGCTTCTCCCCAAGCACATGATCTCAGTCCTACTGCTGTCCCCTGCCGCATGCTCACAGTTGGCGGCAGAATGCCTTTCGTACCCTGGTTCTTTCACCTCAACACACAGAACTCCCAGGACAGGGTCTGCACCCAGGCCTGCCATTCAACTGCTCAGAGGCTTATGGATGGAACTACGGGACACAGAATGTCACAGAAGTTGACTCCATCATAGTATGTTCTCATGAACTGCCCTGGAACAAGTCAATTTAAATGATGAATGTAGCTAGATAACACACTATGTTTTGAGGCCAGGCTTTGCCAACCAAAAAATAATTGATTCAGATGATTTTTAGTTCATTTTTGGTGCTATTTCTAAGCTATTCTGGGTCTGAATCTCAGCTTTCATAAAAACTTCTGTCCTGTCACTGCCCTGCACCAGTGGCATCCCATATGAACACTAGTTTGAGTTGCAGCTGCTGCACTGCTGATCCAGCTCCCAGCTAATGTGCCTGGGAAAGCAGTAGGTGACGCTCCACATGCTTGGGCCTCTGCAGTCACATGGGAGACCAAATGGGGTTCCTAGCTCCTGGCTTCAGCTTAGCCCCACCTCTGCTGTTGCTGACACAGAGCCAGCACTTCCTGAACTTTACCGCACAACAGAATGGTCTTGAAAAATCTCCACTCGATGTGGATCCTTTCCTTTTGAGGTTGGAGACTTCCAGGTGTCACCTTGGCATGTGCAAGGTCACATGTCCTAGAATCCCAGTGTGTTGACCTGTGGGGTCTCACTAATCCCCAAGACATCTATTCCATCTCCTCTTTCAGCCAGAGAACTCCAATGAGTGTGACATGTGCTGCCAAGGGGGGATGATTTACTGCTGCGATACCTGTTCAAGATCCTACCACCAGGACTGCCACATCTCACATATAGACCCTAAGAGGTTAGTAAGCCACTTCCCCACCCAACCCTCTCCTGGTACAGCACCTGCATCATTCACAGCTGGCCTGCCGGGTTCTGGGTCCTGGTGAAGAGCTTCAAGGATCCATCAGATGAGGATCCATAAGGATCTCCCAGAGCTCTAACGTGGCCAATAGCAGCAGACTCATAGAGGCAGAGTCTCTTCAGATGGTTCCTAGAACCTCACACACTGACACAGTGACACCATCCTACCCTGGCTGTTGGTTCAAGCCATATCTCTCCCCTCTCCCCGACCCTCTACCATACACACACATACGCATCCTGACCTGCTGTGGCAACATTGCAAGCAAGGTTGTTAGGGCCTTCAGAAGGCTGTGCCACTATCTGTCAAGTCAGCTGATTCTGCATCGCAAGGAGCATGGTAAGGTCTGTGAACTCTGTGGATGTGAGCCCCTGCTTCAGACAAGGCTGATGCTGTGTAGGTTACCATGGAGACCGATGAGGTGTCCTGAGAATGATGCTCTGGGTAGAACTGCTGTGGCCAGGAGAATGGCCTCTATGAGGAAGGCATCTGTCCTGGTGAGGTCAAAGCTTTCTCCTTCCATGTTGGGAGGGATCAAGTAAGCCACCTGCCCCCAGGGTGCCATCTGAGGGCATCAGTGCAAATGCATGCCTTTGATGAACTGGACAAACTATAGAGGCAGAAGACAGAACAGCCGTTTTGATCAGCCTGTATATAGTCCCAGATCCACGCTGGTCTGGGTCCATGGAACATGCACTGAACATCCTGGGAGAGGTGACATCTCAAGGATGAGTTATTGTATGTGTATCTGATTTTCTTTTTTTTATATATTTATTTATTTTGTATCTGATTTTCAAAAGCCTCACAGCACAGACAGCAGGGGAGAGACACTGGGGAATGACTCTTAGGGCAAATGGAAGGTGTCTAACTCATTTGTAGGTTTCCTTTCCAAGAAGGTTTTACGGGACAAATTCTAGAATGGAATAAGGCAGTGTCAGAGTAGAAGATGCCTATAGCTTGGCTTTTGCCAAAAGTGAAAAAAACAGAAACCTGGCTCTCCTGAGTTTGACAAAGATGAGGTTGATGCATCATGGCCCAAGACACCAGTACTTAAGGTGCTAATTTCTAAGACTTGACTGTGCCAAAAAGGAATCGTTATCAAACTCCCAGAGGCTCTGATGCAAACTCCAGGTTTGGAGGTGAATGAGACTCCATCGCTCCTTAGGCATGTCACTCAACAGGCTTGTCACTCGTGCTGCCACTCTTGATGGGAGGGGAGTCTCTAGTTACAGAAAACAAAGGGTCTCCAAGAGGAGAGTGAGAGAAAGATGGAAACCACAGGTCAGTCTTGAGGAGAGGACTTCAGCAATCACAGAATCCCTGACTGACTCACCGATCCTGTCTTTGCTCACTTATGTCCAACCTCCTAGCAACCCATGGAGTTGCCTCAACTGCAGGACCAAAGACATGTGGCAGAGTTGTGGGAAGAAACAGCCACTTCATCAGGAATCAGAGGTGCTGCAGATGCAGATGCAGCCTGAGCAGCAGCTGGTGAGTGGTGCCAGGAGCCTGAGGCCACTCCTTGCCGGGCACAGGGCAGGAGCGCAGTCTGACAGCAGGCTGAACCTGTGCCTGAAGGTAAACCACAGGCCCTCACTGGGCTTCCATCCCACGACCTCACACCAGAGTGTGGTCTTCAAAGGAGACCCGCATTCCATGTGTGCTCCCAAGAGTCCGCAAGCCTGGAAGCTGTGTTCTGCCTGGGCGTGTGGGTGAGCAGCTCTATGCAAGGGGCCTTTCCCTCACTGTCTTCATCTTCTACAGAGATGCGAGTATCTCCTCCTGAAGGTATACCAGTGCTCAGAAAGTACCGCTTTTGCCTCGAAACCGCATTATGTAAGTAGCAGCCACAGCCTGAAGGCTGTGAACTTGTGATTGGAAATTGTACAAACAGCTTTTCTCTCTGCTTTCTGGGTGACTGTCTTCCTTCATATGTCTTATCACAAATCATCCTAGATGAGATCTCAAGTTTGCATCGTAGATGGGGGGCTGAAGCCACATAATTTGACTTCTCAGAATCTGGAAGCTGCAAGGCTCAGATGAGGGTGCCAGTGGGGTTGGGCTTAACCCAGGCTCCTCCTCTGAGAGAGCTAGCTGCACCAAGAAGGAGGGAGCTCCTGAGGGTCTCCACAAGGGCACCAAGCCAATGGGGAGGCTCCACCCTCACAACATGGTTACCTCCCAACAGCTCTTACACGGGGGGAGGAGAGTGTCAGGGTTCAGCCATGCAAGGGAGGCGGGAGGGGGAGGAACACACGCCCTTTCCTCATCCACCCACCCTGGGAGTCTAGAGAAAGCAGGCGTGGAGCCACACCCCCAGCCCTCCCATTGTATTTGTTGATCTCAACAGGGCACCCAGCCATGCCAGGGCACACAGGGGCCCGTGTTAGACGAGATCAAGAAGAAGCTGCGCAGTCAGGTGTACTCGCACGTGGGGGGCTTCGTGCAGGACATGCGCCTCATCTTTCAGAACCTCAAGGCATTTTGCAGCGTAAGTGATGCTCCTAGCGTCCCTGCTCTCCGTCATGGCCTTTCTACCTTGCATCTTCTATAGAGCGAATGTTTCAACTGCCCTCGTCAGTTGAGAAGCTCATACAAGCCAACGTGATAATGACAACCTGGAAGTATCCAGAAAGCTCTGGGGGGAAATAGCCCAAGCCAGAAAGCGTCACTGCCAGCAGGACCTAAGGCCCCTGCCTGTACTCTCTCACAGATGGAAGATTTCTGCCAAGGCAGAACGCTCGGCGTTCAGCAGAGCTGTTCACCCCCACAGGAAAGACAAGGGCATTTTCAGGGCAATCAGCTCTTCCCATCTTGAAGGGATGCTGTCATGGACGCCCTGTTAAAGCCTGGGTTTGCTTGCCCCATGAGCAGCCAGTCCATGGCTGATGCCAGTACGGTGGTGAGAGAAAGTGGGTGTTGATTTTGCACTCCGTGATGCCCTGAGGGACTGAGGGCAGCAAGGCTTAGGGACTAAAGCTGGGGCTGAGCCGTGCTCCCCAGCTTGTGTGCCACGGTGCTGGCAGCTTTCCTGTGATTGGTCGGTGGCTGAAGCCCCCGCAATTTCCTGAGAACATTGTGATGGCAGAGTGGACCAGAGGCCACCATAGATGGACATGGTCACTGTTTTGTTTGGTCAAGGCCAGGGGTTCTTGTGAAGTGTCTCAAATGGAATCCAGCTGCTCGAGATGAACTAGAGAGGTCATCATGGCTTTGCAGTCTCGTGGCTGCAGTCTTGTGGGGCTAGACTGATCCTTTTCCATAGAGTCATCAAGGCGGAGGCATAAGAGGACACGTTGAGGGGCGAGGCCGGAGCCTGCTAGTCTACCTCCCAGCCGGTAGGGACAGGCCCTGCAGACGACACCACACCAACCACCTCCCACCTTCAAATCCTGCTTTGCTTTATGCCTGAATTTCCTAGTCCTACAGCAAAAATAGTGAAAGGCATTCCCAAGGGGTGAGGTCAAGGTACAAGGGAAACGTGAATTAAAGTTAGACACTTTTGTGCTATCACATTATTACATTTAAAATGTGCTAGTATCTAGTATCTAGAATTCATAAAAGTGACATCTATCCATGAATTCATAAAAGTTATCCAATATCTAAAATTCATAAAATTAAATCTCTCCGTGAACTGCCCATCAGGAATTAGCCTGAAGTTTGTGAGTTGAGTATTCCTAACCAAAACATGTGAAATTCCAAATGTTCAGAAAATTCCACACTGTAAACCTTTGCTTCATGCATTAAATTATTAAAAGTTGCGTGCACACTTACCTACGGGCCGTGTGGAAGGCACAGACGGTACATCAATGAATTTTTGTGTGTGAACTCAGCCTGTATAAACAGTGCATCCTGTTGCGCATGTGCAAATGTTTGCCAAGTCTCCAAAACGCAGAATCTGCCGCACTCCTGGCTCCAGGCGTCTTGGGGAAGGGGTGCAGAGTCTGCTTTTCCACCTTCCAAAGAGAAACCACCAGAACAGCAGAGCACACCTGCCTTCCGGCTGTGGGGCTCATGCCCACGGGGGAGGTGAGGAGCAGAGCCCCACAGTGGCTAATGTCATATCTATTCTTTTTCAGGATGGAGTGTTCCTGAGTGAACTCGAGGCCAAGTTTGAGAAGAACTTCCAATGTATTTTTGCAGTTCAGGAAACCGGGCAGAGCATGTCTTAGTTGGAGCCCACCGCTTGTCAACATTTCTTAGCCATCCCTGACCACCTATTTGTCTAAACTAAATTTAGACTTGTCCAAGTGTTCGGATTGAACCACTTGGAGAGAAAGTTGCTGTGGAAGAAGGGCACCTTTCTCCACAGAGCGTTGGCCTGCTCATGGCCTCCATGCATTCAGATCCTTCATCAGATCCTTCAGCAACGTCGTCTCTTCCCACACAGGACTGACATTCTTCTTCACCCCGAAGTATTTTATGTTTTGGTTGTTACTGTCAACGGTACCTCTCTCCCTGTGCTTTGTTACTGCCGACTGTTACAGAAAGCTCCTGAGATCTGTGCATTCACTCACACACATGCAGGTGTAAGTGCAGAGATCACTCCCTTACTGAATGCTGGGCAGTACTGGCGATTGTTTTCTGTTTTGTTTTGTTTTGTGCCTGGTACCCAAAAGCATCAGGAAGACTTGGTGGATACATGACATTTCCGTGGAACCGCGATTGACTCCACTGATGGAAGCATTCACTACCTGGGCTCTGAAAGCTCTGACGAGCCTTGGCTCTGCTGGAGGGTGGCTCTGCCTAGATGGTTAGGGTCAGCCACTCCAGGTGGCTTCCTGATGCCACCAGAAAGCCCACAGGGAACATCCGAGACCGTGGATGCGGCGTATTCTCTTAGAACATACTTTTTCTTATGAGTGAGTGTACATTCAGTAATGACAATAAAAATAAAGAACAGTGAAACATAAACCAGTCCCGTAGTCATTTCCATTGTCAGTATCCAAAATTGCACATTGTATGTAATTTACGTACCTGCTCTATCTTTATGCACCTGGCCACGGTTTGCTTCTGCCAGTACCACCGCCTGGCACTGTAATGCTAGGAAAGCCGCAGCATCGCTGACTGATGAGAATGTCTGGCTCCATTACAAACCTAGGACCACCCTTACACATGCCTCCCTTCTGTGGCCAAAGCATCATCATGGAGTATATGACTCTACAGACATGGACAACTGCGGGGAAATGAGTAACTCTTCAGCAGGTGCCTTATAGTCCAGGCTGCAATACCACCTCCAGATTTCAAAAGGAGGATGGAAAGGCCAGGGAGGTGGGAGGGTGAGCAGAGAAGGTAGGCACTGGATGAAGCTTCCTGTAGTGCAGAGGGAGCCACTGTGATTCCAAGGACCCGGCTCCAGCCCTGCAGCACCGCATCACCTGTCACACATCACATGCCTGCAGGGAGCAGGATACAGAGCTCTCCTTGACCAACATCAGTTTCCCCTGTAACCCTTATGATTCACTCAGAAATATGCCTCCAAGGCAAGGGTCATCCGTGGCAGGTGCTCCCAGACCCTGCTTCCCAACATCACCAGAGAACACGGGGAGCTCGCAGTGGTCCCAAGCCACAGAGCAGTGACAATGCGGGGTCTCCCGACTGCTGTGGCATCCCCCCACAAGAGCAGACCAGGCCTGGGCCCACCCAGACAGAGCTCTGTGCACAAACCCACATCATCCTGGCACCTGTTAAGTCTTGCCCTGCAGCCCCCAGGCTGTACTATAAGTCAGGAGATAAGCTCTGGGTGAGTGCAGACCCATTGTCTCCGACTGCGACACAAACCCATCCATGGCACAAGGGTTGGCAGCTCTACTATCCATCTCCCACATACATTCCTCATGGTATTCCGTCCTTACATCTGGCAGGAAAAATGGCATGCCTCCCTATGAGTAGCTCTGGAAATGCCCCCTCCGAGGTAAGTCACTGACAAGGGCTTGCTCAAAGGGACCCGATGGGCACCCACCCCGTTACCTCCCCAAGAGCTTCCAGACCTGTCTAGCTGCAGGGCATGTGGGGTGTCCTTGTGCGGGGGACAAAGGTGCACCACTCATGTGACTCTGCCTGCTACCGGCTCATTCCTTGGAATCCATTGAGGCACCTTCCCCCACCGCACCACCACCTGCCCTCACCCTCCCACCCCAAGACTCCAGCCTCCCCAAGACAGCGAACCAGCAACCGGATGCTTGGCTCCAGATGAATGGAAGGCTTGTAGGAAGGAAGACAGGGCTGCCAGGGTCTTGCGGTCGTGCGGTGTCTGTGTGACTTCAGCCCAAGCAGCAGGGCCAGGGCCTGGCTGCACAGAGCCCTTTTAACTTGCTTCTGGTGAAACCCAACTCTAGGCTGGCAAACACTGGCACCCAGAAGCTCCCCACCTGTTGAGTGCACCCCTCCATGCTGGCCTGGAGCCATGCAGTTTGCACTACCTGCTTCTTCTCCTGGGCTCCCTCCTGATAGGGTGCCAGGGGCCACTGAGTTATAGAGAAATGAGGGGCAGCTGGACACACAGTTAGGCAGCCTCCTGGATTCCCACCTTCCCAGCTGCCACTTTCTCATTTTCTTCCGCAGGTTCCCTCCCACCCCTGACCTTGAAAGGTGGAAGCGACTGCAGGTCAGTTCTTGGGTAGCCTCGTTCTGGTCCCAGCTCCAGTGTCACTCTCTGTGCTGACAGGTCTCTAAGCCTCTGCCACCCAGGCAGGCTTCTGACCTCCAGGATTCTGACACCTCCACCTGACCCTGGAATGTCTATCTCGTGTTCTTGTTCTCCAGTAGTCAATGCAAGGAAATGAACAGAGCATCCACACACAGCACATGAATGCAGACAGAACTGGTGCCACTGTGAAAACAGCTCAGAAGGGATTACTTGAAGAATCAAAATGGCGGAATGGGTAAGGACACGTTTAAACGGATGGAGAAACATTTAATCAGGATGAAGCAGAGAGGACATTTTTCAGGAAATAGGAAAGGTGAGTACAACAGCAGAGGGGTACCTGGAGACTGACAGACACAGGAAAGCAGCGGGCACAGCAGTGTGGTGTTGCAGTGACTGATACTCCAGCACGGCGATCTGAACTCCACTAGCAGCCTGAACTCCACCAGCAACCAGGTGGGAAGGGACTTTCACTGGGTGCTCACCAGGTGAACCCAGACAGGGAACTATCTGTCCTGCTGGTCCGTTTGATTTGGCCAGGAGCAGAGACAGAGCAATAAATCTCAGGTGGTGTGAGAAGAGTGAATTTCATAGCCCAGTCAGCCCCCTAGAGCTGAATTGGGCACCATTTTGCGTAAGGAGGAAAGGGCAAGGGAAAGGACTGAGCATGCTCTAAGAGGGAGTGAGCTCATTTCTGACTCAGTGAACTGCAATGACGTGGCATTCTACAGGTTCCATCCAGGGCAGGTCTGGGTAACCCTCGGATCTGTCAGCCAGCAGATCAAGAACTGTTGTGGTAGCACGTCGGGCGCCATTTTGTGCACTGTGGCAATAGCTTTGGGACTGCAAGTGAAAACAGTGAACTGCGCTTGGGCTGAGCTCGTGAGAACTCACTGAGGTCCCGCAGGAAAATAATACCGACTGTGGCATCGTACCGGTCAAAATAGGTCAGTGTGGCATCCAGACCTAACGTCCAACAAGTTCCGACAAGATCAGCACCACCAACAACCTAACTAGATAGTACACCTGGTGTCTCAAATCCTGGAACCCACTCCAACCGGAAGAGGGAGAAAGGTTGCAGAGACACTGGTGCAGCCTCAGCACAGTATCACAGGAGGTGGAGAGCGGTGAGCCAAGAGCTGGGGCTGTGGAGATCACGGTGGATATCTGACATAAGAATCCAGGCCTGGAACTCGCTGGAGGTTGTGGCACAAGTGGCTGCAAAGCAAAAAAGTGGTGTACCAACTGTAATAAGTAAAATCGCATTGTAGACCTGTGGGTGACACAGCTTAGGACCTGCCCCAAGAAGAAGACTCTGCTAACTAGAAGTACAATGATCAAGAGCAAAAGAAGAGACAAAGGCACAATGAATCTTACTGAAAACTCCCCTGCAAAGGAGCAAAATCCTTTGGCCAACCTCAGAGTTCACTAAGGAAGACATCGAGAAAATGGGGGACACAGAATCCATAAGACTCATTTTAAAGATTCTGGTCAAAAATGAGAAGCTCATGCAAGAGTTCAAAGAATTTAAGGAAGCAGTAAAGCAAATCAAGGCTGGGATATCAGAAATTAAGAACACAGTAGAGCAAATTACAAGTACAGTGGAGAGTCTCCAAAATAGAATGAAGCAAGCAGAAGAAAAAAATCTCAGAATTGGAACATATCTCCTGTCACCAGGGGGAAACAAACAAAAAGCTGGAAGCAGAGCTGGATCAGGCCAAAAAAAGTATTCAAGAATTGAAAGACACTATTAAGAGGCCAAATATAAGAGTTATGGGAGTCCCGGAAGGTGCAGAAAGAGAAGCTGAGTTGCAAATGTATTTAATGAAATAATCAAGGAAAATTTCCCTAATCTGGAGAAAGAATTGGGAAACAAGATCCAGGAGGGACACAGAACTCCCAACAGGCTTGATCAAATGCAATCTTCACCAAGACACCTGATAATCAAGCTCTCTTCAATTGAACATAAGGAAAAGATCCTTAAATGTGCATGTGAAAAAAATCAATTGACATATAAAGGAATGCCAATTAAGCTCACAGGAGATCTCTCACAGGAAACTCTACAGGCAAGAAGAGAATGGAGTGACATATTCCAGATTCTAAAAGAAAAAAATTGTTGGCCTAGGATAACATATCCAGCAAAGCTTTCTTTCATCTTTGAAAATGAAATAAAATTATTCCAGAGTAAAGAAAAGTTAAAAGAAATTGCCTCTTCCAAACCTGCCCTACAAATGATACTTCAAGATGTTCTCTTGACAGAGAAGAGGAATAGCACCTACCAAAACCAAAGGCAAACGGGAAGAACATCCCAGTAAAATGACAACAGAAGACTAAATCAATGAACAATCCATTCCTAAAATGACAGGACCAAATTAACTCTGAATGTAAATGGCATAAGCTCAATCAAACATCATAGATTAGTAGACTGGATTAAAAAACAAAACCCATCTGTTTATTGTCGGGAGGAGACACACTCCAACAAAGATCAGCGGAAACTATATCACATGGGTTTTGTTGTTTTCTATTGGTTTCATCTCTTCAAAACACTTTCTTCTGATTAAATCATTCAATGACTCGTAGACCATGCAGTGGCATCACTTTCTTCAAGAAGGTTCTTGATTTTCACTTCTTCAGCTACACATTATACATTTAATAGCATGCTGTTTAACTTCTTGGTAGTGTTAATTTCTTTTTTCTCTCAGATGCTGAGTTTGTTTTGTGGCTCTTCATTTAAGGGAATGCATAGTAGTTGTGCAATGGAGATGGTCATATCTAGTAACATGTCATTTAACTTCATGGCATTGTAAATTTCTATTTTTCTTTCTATTGTTGATTTTGTATCATGACTTTGCATTTAAGGAAATGTACAGTAGTCATGTAATGGAGACTAACATCCAGATGTGAGGATGCAGTGTGGTATGCATTTCTGCTTCCAGACAAAGATGGACTTACAGTGAAACAGTTTATATTATATTTTGACAATAGGACTCAGGACTCTCTGCCATTGTCCATGCCCGAAAAGATGGACATATGACTGAGTATGAAGAACTATATATTAGTGATGATATAAAGGAACTAGGTGGGTGGGGGAGGGAATTGGGGAGGGGATAAGGGAATATGGAACTGTATCATAAAATGACAGCAATAATAATAAAATGTGAAAAAAGGGATTACTTTTCTTTTCAAGAAAGATTTATCTTTATTTGAAACGCAGAGTTACAGAGC